TTGTTTCAGTCAACAACGATGAAAAACCAGCAAGGAAGCAAACCAAGGTTAAAGGTGCCTGCAGCACAAGTCTGGCATCCTGAGTTCGATTCCCAGGACCCACATACAGGGGAAGGAGTGAACTGACGCCACAAAGTTGTCCCCTGCCATCCACAGGCATGCTGTGACACATGCACAGACCCATATACAGCAATAATAAGTTTTTACACTTTTTAAAAGACAGTCAAAATAATTGTGGGGGTCTGCTCCCACCTTCTGGTTCTTAGGTGGAGGAGAGAGCAATTAAGATAGAAAGAGAGACCTAGAAGATAAGAAGAAAGACAGAAACACAGGATAGCTTCAGGAGGGCCTGAATCAATACCCAACAGCCTTGTCCTTTTTTGAAAAGGGCTTTTTATAATATGCCAAGGAGAGAAGCAAAAGACCTCCCCCTTGCAAGATTAAAGCACATCATACAGCCAAGTGTAGACCCTTCAAAACACCTGGTAGCCTCACTTGTGGCCAAATCATCTCCTTATGCAGCCCTGCTGGGTAAAGCAAGCTCAGATTCTTTGATCTTGAATAATTTCTCACTAGGAAACCTCTGGGGGCTCCCACAAATAATCAGAAGAATTTTATAAAATAACATGAGTAAATCTTTTCAACCAAAATCCATGCTGGTTTCCCTTAGAAGAGTACACATTCACTCAACATCCTTCCACTGAAGATGATCATACCTACAGCAGTGAAATGGCAATTACAAAAACCTGGGTCCAGGTGTTCCCTCAGCCTACTCACTGAGTGACTTGGGATTTAAACTCATGACACAATAAAATTACAAATTGTTATGTGTCCAATCTGTAGATTTTTTAAAAGATCATATATATGTGACTGTATATATATGATTGTATGTATATTATATATGTATGATTGTGTATATATGACTATATATGAGATATATATATATATATATATATATATATATATGATACAGCAAAAACAATAGTATGAGAGGAGTTTACACCAATAAGCACTTATACTTTTAGATGAGGAGGGGAGCTGATTTCAAATAAACAATCTATTATGTATCTCAAGGAATGAGAAAACCAACCTCCAAATTACTGATAGGAACAACAGACAGGTGATGGTGGTCCAGGTCTTTACCCCCAGCAGAGGATCCCAGCAGGAGGTGGTGGTACCCACCTTTAATCCCTGCATTCAAGAGGCAGAGACATGGATCTCTGGTCTACAGAGTGAGTTCCAGGACAGCCAGTGCTACACAGAGAAACCCTATCTCAAACACACACACACACACACACACACACACACACACACACAGAGAGAGAGAGAGAGAGAGAGAGAGAGAGAGAGAGAGAGAGAGAGAGAGAGAGAGAGGAGAGAGAGAGAGAGACAAAGACAGAGACAGAGACAGAGACAGAGAGACAAAGACAGAGAGACAGAGACAGAGAGAATTAGAGACTATAACACAAAAATAATTGACAACGAAATACCAAAGTGAAGAGCTTTGCACACACTCTTGCTGCTCTTAATGCAGCACTAGAAGTTTTAGCCAAACAAACTCGATAAGAAAAAGGATACAGATAAGAAGGAAGTTAAGCCGGGCGGTGGTGGCGCACGCCTTTAATCCCAGCACTCGGGAGGCAGAGGCAGGCGGATCTCTGTGAGTTCGAGGCTAGCCTGGTCTACAGCGCGAGATCCAGGAAAAGCGCAAAGCTACACAGAGAAACCCTGTCTCGAAAAAACCAAAAAAAAAAAAAAAAGAAAAAAAAAAGAAGGAAGTTAAATTATTGCTGCTTGCAGGTACTAGGTATATGTATCAGATATACACCCATAAAATATATGCATGTGTATATACCTACATATATGTAAAGAGAGAGAGAGACAGTTAAAGACCATCAAGAGCCCATTTGAACTAATACAGTCAGGAAATGTTCAGGATGCAAAATTAACATACAGAATCAGTATTTTGTTAGCAATAGTAATATACAATAGTTGAAAAAGAAATCATCAAAGGAATTCTATTCACAGTAGCTACAATAAAAAAGACATCTACAATGAAAATTAAAGAATTTAATTTTTTAGTTTAAAGATTAATGAAATTAAAGAGGTCATTAATTATAAGAATTAAAACTGTTAAAATATCCATTCTACACAGAGCAAACATCATATTCAATACAATCTTCACCAAATTGCCAATGGCATTCTAAACAAAACTAGAAAAAAAAATCTAAAATCATATGAAGTCTGAAAGCACTCCAAATAGTCAAATTATTTTGAGCAAAAAAAAAAAAATAAAAAACAAACAAACAAAACAAAAGTTGTCTGATTTCAAATTACACAACAAAGCTATGGTAACCAGAATAGCAAAATGTTGAAATAAAAGCAGATACATAGACTAGTGAACAGCACAGAGTGCCCCATGATTTTGCAGCCATTGGGTTCTCAACAAAAAAGCCAAAAGTATGTGCTGGGAGAAAAGACAGCCTCTTTATTAGCAGTGCTCAGGAATCCAGGTCCTCACAAGGAGAAGAGAAAAAAATGGCCCCTCTTATCTTACAAACAGAAAATAGATTGAAGACCTACTAGAAGGAAACAGGAAAGATACTTAAGACAGCCATATAGGCTATGATTTGGAGGAAAGTATAAGACACCCAAAGAACAGAAAACAAACATAAATGCATGAGATTATGTAACTATACAAGCTTAAAAGATTATATAACTATATATAAACTAAAAATCTGAACAACAAAAGAAACACATTGAAGAGATACCTATAGAATGGGTGGATTGTAAACTACATATGTCTAGAATATGTGAAGAACTTAACATTTAAATAAAAAATCCAATACAAAATGAACAAAGGATATGGGCAGTCACTTCTAAGAGGGAAAAATTCAAATAATGGGCAAATTATGGGGGGAAAAATCTCACTTCCCTAGGATTATTACCCTTGGAAGTAGTGAAGGCAGATACTGTTCTGATGAGAATAGTTATTACCAAGTAGTCCATAAATAATGAATATTGGCAAAATGTGAAGAAAAGGGAATGTTTGTATATTGGTGAGAATGGGAATTAGTCATTATGGAGAACAGCATAGCATTATGGTTCCTCAAAAAACTCAAAATAGAGCTACCATGTGACCCAACTATCTCTCTTCTACTATATAGCCAAAGGAAATTATATTAGCATATCAAAGAGTCATTTGAACAAGCATGCTGATTACTATGTTGTTCACAGTAACTAAGATATGGATCCAACCTTGAGACCTATAAGGGAATGAAAGGCTAGAGAACAGGTGGTACAAGCATAATGGAATATTATTCAGTGACATAAAGAATAGTATCTTCTTAAACAGCCTGATGTCACTGTGCTAATTAAATGACGTAAGTCAGGTGCAGAAACACAAATATTACCTCTTTTCCTCATATGTAGATTTTTTAAAAGATGGTCAGGATGTACAGTAGAGATCATTAAAGGCTGAGAAGGGTGGAAGAGGATAAAGTAAGCTTGAATAATGGGTACCAAAGGATAGATGAGATAAGAAGTCCTATCAGAATAAGCCTATAGCACAGTGGGATGATGTCACTTCATGACAACCTATTATTTTATGTGCAGTGGAAGCAAGGAACTGGAAAACTCCCAATACAAAGTAATAATTAGGAGACTATAGTGTTTAGTTTCAAAACTAGCACACTGTAGTGAATAAACTAGTGCAATTATGTTTGCCACCTTTTAACACTTTTTTAAGGATGGAGAAATATTTAACTGCTCTGATTTGATCATCACACTGTATGTACATATCAAATGATACCCATAAATCTGTACACTTAGTTTAGAAAATCAATAAAGGTGGGATAAGAATGATTGATTCACCCAGATGCAATTTGTCTCAGAAACAAAAATGCCATCATTGGCAGCTTTGTTCTGTGTAGCCCCTAGACCCTACATTATGCATCAAATACTACCAGCCAGAGTGAGGGGCTGTAGAACGTGGGTCATGCTACTCTGTGGGAGGTAGCAAGTTCCCTGCCCCTCCATTTGGAGTCAACTGTAGATGAAATTTGAGGGAAAGACAAGGCCTATTTCTGGCATATTCTCCCCCCACCCATACACACACCCCTGGTCCTCACTGAAGCCACACTGCTCTCACTTCCCCAGTTACTCCTTGACTCCTGATCATTTTCTTCTTTTCCCTCCTCCATCTTCCCTCAGCCAGTGATTCAGAGCAATCTGACTAAAAATGCTAGGCCATTCAGGTAGAGCCCGCATTGAATTTTTCTATTTTCAGGCACCGCTAGAGGTATTGGACACTTTGTAATTTTTGTAACAATTTGTAATTTTATTGTGTCATTAGTTTAAATCCCACGTCACTCAGTAAGTAGGCCGAGGGAACACCAGAACCCAGGTTTTTGTAATTGCCATCTCACTGCCATAAGTATGATCATCTTCAGTGGAAGGGTGCTGAGTGAATGTGCACTCTCCTAAAGGAAGCCAGTGTGGAGTGCTGGGATCAAACCTAAGGTAGCTCAAGAGCGTGACATTTCCTAACTAGAGAAGCTGTGACTCTGTGCGGATTCTAGCCTGTGTAAAAGGCACACACTTTCAAATGTGCTTCAAATTGATATCATTTGCTCAGTAATTCTGGAAATGTCTTAAACAGGCAGTTTAGGAGCTAGAAATACAACAAACACAGCAGTGTAGAGATGTAGTCCATCTCCTTATGAAGATGCAAGTTTCCCAGGAAAGGCAGACAGTATCAAGTGAGTGAGTGCAGCAAGGTCTTCTGAGTGTTCAGAGAGAGAAGGCCTTAAACCATAAGGAAGAGAAACCCCAGGAGCCAGCAGTCTGTGGAAGACTGTGATGACTGCCCTTAGAGTAGGAATGGGAGATGCAAAAGGATACATGAACGTATCAGACACACCTCAGGGGTTCTAAGGCCCATTATTTAGACCAGAGTGTACTTACAGCCAACGTACTGAATCAGGTTTTTTTCCCCTCAGGTACAGCCAAAAAATTTCATAATCCCAGACCATCAGAAACCATCCTTCCAGAATTCTGTGGATCACAGGTGAGCCAAAGATGTAAGCTGGGATCTGACTTAAGTTCTGGTCCTGTCTGTTTGAGACACAGGACTGGGACTGAAAGGATAGTAAACAGAATACCCTGGGAATGAACTTCATAGTGGTTTTATCTTCTGTTGGAGCCAAGGAATCAGACTAAATTAAATTATTTTACTTCTCTACCTGAATGATTATTTAAGTTACTGGTAGCGCAACTGTCCTTTCTACCAATATAAAAAAAAAAAAAAAAAAAAAAAAACAGTATGAGGAGTAGGGTAGGAAATGTCTTCATTGCCCTTGGGCAGATAACAATTCTTGAATAGATGACATATATCTAATTCACAAAATATGGGAGATGACACAAAATTTGTCCTGAGTTCAAGACATCCTCTGTCACTTTTCACCAACTTAAATTTTACTTATCCATTCTATTTTGTTGTTTGCTGAAAGAAATACAACAAATAGAACAAAAATGAAAATCTAGTTAAATTCTGATTAGTTGGGTTTTTAAACTTTTTTCTTGTATTTGACTATCAACAGTGAAGAATTTACTTCTTTATTTTGTAAAACTCTTGGGAGAACATGGAAGGAGTTGGGGGGATGGGAGGCTGTGTACACATATAATGTTCTCATTATGAAAACCTCAATTAAAAAAACCCCTCCAAGCCCAAATATGATGCTATACATGTATGAAACTTCATAGTGAAATTCACTGTTTGGTGCACTAACTAAAACAAGCAAAGATTAAAACAACAACAACAAACATGGACTCACTCTGGCTAAGGCATCAGTGTTCTGAATGCCTCGCAATAGATGGCAGAATGTGAGCACGGCGTCACCTTTACAGAATAATGATATATGATGCTAAGGCAACATCTCATTCTTCCCCTTATATAAAGAGAAAGATGGGAGAAACTAGCAAGTCTGTCATGTGGCTCAGAAGCAAATGTTCTCATTGCCTTTCTGACATTATGGCCTTTTGTTCCAGACTATGACACAAGTCAGGTGCACTGAAATCATGTACCAGTGCTGGCTCAGGTACACAAAGGTCACAGAGGGAACATGTGTCTGGGCAGTCCAAGTTCCAACACTAATAACATTTGCTCATACTTTTTATTATTTTTTATCATGATAAAAGTAATTCTAATAAATACTCTTTGCAAACTATAAATAGGAAACTCTTTCAACCAAGGGTTTCTGAGCAAAAGCTAATTCTTCTATGAGAGAGACTTTGAAACCTGTTGCGCTGATTTAGAATGTTTTGTACTTTAAGCACTTAATCCAAAAATCATTAAATCGTTTCATTTTAAGCAAGCAGTTCTTATTCCTTTAAACTGTGGCCAAGAATTGAATGATCTTAAAATACTCTCAAACCTTTGTTTTTGGTTTCATTTTCAACATAATGATGAAAGAAAGCCTACCACTTCGGTTTGATACTTACATAGAATGACTGTACAATATGGGTTTGGCTCTGTTTCCTATGTATACAATCTTCTCCACCCTTTGTAAGTCTCTCCATACATAGGGCTAATGGAACCTCACCTAAACAATTTCCTTTCCCCTTTTAAAAATGTATTTTATCTTGGTTTTTGTGTATGTGTGTATGTCATGGGGTGGTGTAGCAAGAATTGTTAGGAGGTCTTATTAATAGAATCAAACCTGAAGCCAGTTATTGGGGTGAATGCTGGAAGATCAGAGAAGCAGAACAAGCCACAGCTACCTCACTTCGCCAGTTCCTCAGCTGATCCTGTTTCCTCAGACTGGAAGCTTCTCAGTCCTCATCCAGAATGAATCTCAGCTGAACTGTGCTGCTCAAAGCCTAAAAGCTTGACCAGCCAAAATGCTTCTAGTTTCTGGTCTTTACGCCTTATATATCTTTCTGCCTTCTACCATCACTCCCTGGGATTAAAGGCGTGAGTCACCATGCCTGGCTGTTTCCAATGTGGCCTTGAACTCACAGAGATCCAGAGGGATTTCTGCCTCTGGAATGCTAGGATTAAAGGCGTGTGCTACCACTGCCTATCCTCTATGTTTAATATTGTGGCTGTTCTCTTCTCTGACCCCAGATAAGTTTATTAGCGTGCACAATATTTTGGGGAACACAATACCACCACAGGGTGGGCGTGGGGTGCACCTGTGGAGGCCAGAAAGGCATCAGATGCCCTGGAGCTGAAGTTACAGGTGGTTCTGAGCTGTCCAGTGTAAATACAGGGGATTGAACTCAGGGCCTCTGGAAGAGCCAGACCTCTTAACCACCAAGCCCTCTCTCCAGCCCTGCCTCTTCTTAAGTGATTTTAACTATAGCCACTGCAAGAGTTAATGTTTTAGGAATGTAAGGAATGAAGGAGAGAGGAAGAAGGGATGGGGCACACATACTTATTTGCTGAATTGTAGAAGAGACAGATCGTAAACTATTTATTCCTGAAAATACTGCCTCCTGTTTGCACAGCGTGGACATAGATGGGTTTTGCTTTCCTTTTTCTCCATCTCAATGAGCCCTCCAGTGACAAGTGAATTAAAGAAACTATCTAGACCAGCCATATATTTTGGTAACAGAACCACCACAGAAGATCTTTGTAGAAGTGGACGCATTAAAATGTGTAGATAGCCTATCAGTGGTTCTCAACCTTCCTAAAGCTTCAACCCTAATATAGTTCCTCATGTTGGGGTAATCCCCAACCATAAAATTATTTCGTTGCTACTTCATGACTGTAATTTTGCTACTGTTATGAATTATAATGAAAATATCTAATATGCAGGGTTATCTGATATGCTGTCTCTTAAGGGGTCATGACCCACAGATTGAGAATCACTGCTGGCTAGCCCATCAAGTGTTACCAGTTCGTAAGTCTTAAGGAATTAAGCAGTTTAGACCAATCTAGAATGTCTTAGAATTGAACATATTTGGAGTGGGGGTGGGGAGTCACCCCCCACAACCTTGGCTACCAGGGTAAATGGAGAAGTCACAGTCTCCAACCAAAACATTTTCTCAGTTTTGCTTTTCAGGGGCAAATGACTGACTTGGAAGATTTCTTACTATTTAAGGAAATTAGAGAAATATTTCCTTAATCCCTACTAGTTTTAGATTCTACATGTTCTTATAGTAGAATAAAATATTTTTAAAATGAAGCTTTTTGTCAGAACCCACTAAGATGCTACCAAGGAAAAGCACTAGAGAGTTGTGGGGTTTGGACAACGAATTCTTTCACCCTGCTGCAAAGGGGCCTGAGGGTAGGTAAGCAGATGCTGCAGTGGAGAACGCCTCTGTTCTGTGTGTAAAGACACATTCCTGAAGGGAAAACTTGTCTTGGGAGCCCCAAGACCAAGTTCTCATCACAAATAAGATTTATTTATCCCCGAGGGACAAAGAGCAAGGACTAAGAGACAAAGACAGAAAACAGAGGGCTAGGGGGAAGGGGAAGGGGACAGGAAAGAGGGACAGGAGCATTTGTCCCAGGACAAAGGGCTGCCTCTCGATAGAGCAGAAACAAATGTGGCACATAGAAAAATTGCAGTTTATAAAGGAAAAGGGGAAATTTCGTGTATGATGAGTTGGTTTGTTTTGATTGGACTTTTTAATTAGGGTAGCCAAAAGGGGCTTTTAATTGCTGGACTTCAATTCTTTGATAGCTGGACCTTGGTAGTCAGCCCCAGGAGGAGGAAGTGAGCAAGTAAGGGAATAGACCTTGGTGGCTAGCTTTAGGAATGTAATCTAATGGTTTTTTAGCAAGGCAGAGGGAATGCAGGAGAAGGTCAGGGCCTGCCAGAGCCATGTTTGCCAGGCCCAGACTAGATAGAGTCCCTTCAATTCCTTTTCACTAAGGTCTAGCCAAATGACTAATGTGTTTCCTTGATTCTTCCAATCAGAGAGATGCTTCTTCATCATCCCGATATCCAGCAGTTTGATCACCCCTGCAATGACATTCCAACAGGTTTGTTTTCTTTTAATAAGCACTTCTGGTATAATACATACTCTACTTGGGGCCAGAGAATGGAAAACTTAAGTTTCTATGATAGCGTCTACATTTTCTGAGCAAATTCTGTGCTCTGTCCCTTTTTTTCTTTTGTGTGTAATCCTTTGATGTGCTGGGATTGTTTCACAGCCTCCTCCTCCTCCTCCTCCTCCTCCTCCTCCTCCTCCTCCTCCTCCTCCTCCTCCTCCTCCTCCTCCTAACTCCAGCTCACTCTATCCCCTCCAAGGGTCTCACATGTTTTCATGTCATGTTTTCTCCAAGGTCTCTTTAGGTCACATAATTCTGACTAATAAGCCACTTGCTAAAGACCTTTCCAGAGAAATGGGACACACACTAAGTGAAAGGCTTTCCTCGGCAGTCCTGGTGACACGGATCAAAGTGGGAAGACAGGGCGTCACAACACTCCTGAAATGGTCTCACTCGAAAGCCACACATCTTTATCCATAAGAGCCCTAAAACACCTACCTTCCTCCAGAAGCTGCCCAGTGCTATTCTGAGTTCTATTACTACTTATAAACTGCACACACAAAGGCAGTAGTGTGTCCCAGGCTGCATCACTGATTTATGTCTCACCCCTTAGAGATGGGTGGCAATGGACTGACAAATATACAACTAAGCCATTCTTTGGGGTGACATGATTTAAAGATGTAGGGCAGCCTAAGCTTTAGTGATTTTTTCCCCCTATCCTATGGATCCCAAATAGCTGAGACTACCTGAAGCTTTTGTTTCATTTGATTTGTACAGTAAAAGAAATGAAGTTATGGTTACAGAAATCAGAAGTTGATATTTTATCATAAAAAGTTGCAGGAATTCATAACTGGAACTGAACTGAGAAGCCCCCTAGAAAGGAAAGTTGAGTACAGAAGGGATATCTTGGGCAGATGCCAAAGGAAAGACCAGAGATCCCATAAAACAATGGAAGGTTTGCGAATCCAACTCCACTGCAGTGAAAGGGGGCGGCCCAGTTCCCATGAATTTCTTCTCATATATCCAAACTGTTGACCTAATTCATGATTTTGTTTAGGCAAAAGTGAGCAATGCAGACCTAAGCTTAAGAGCATCCACACAATGAAAGTTCCCCACCAATGTCCTCTGGTCAGTTATTCTCCCCATGCCAAGAGAAAGAACACTGGGAGATAAGAATACCCAATCAGTCTCAGCATCATCTGTGCTAGTGACATACTTATTTCCAATTTCTCTTGGACCTGAATTTTTTATCAAGTTTGTCTTGCAAAGGAATGAACCAAAACACATATATGCACATGTGCATGCATGCATGCATGCATGGGCACGCACGCGCACGCGCACACGCACACACACACACACACACACACACACACACACACGCATGCACACACACAATTAATTACAATCTCCTTCCCTCAGCAAGATTATTTTGCAACACCAATTTGTAAATCCGGGAATGCTTCAGTTAGCAACATAAAAGCTAGCTGAGGGTACATGGGATCAGCATGATATTTACTTGCACGTAGAAGTCTAATCTAAGACAACAATTTTGGAGATGGAGCTATAGGGAAAGTGAGTACAAAACTGGTTAGGGGGCTGAGCGTTGGTGGACCTCTATGTGATGCCAGCTGTGACCTCTCTGAGCTAGGCTTTGTTGCTGTGTGTGTCCTCCAAACATGGGGGAAAGTGTAGCCTAGGACCAATAATGCCTCTTCCCAGATTCTGGTCTTTCTCTTGGGTGTGGTGTCTGTGTTCCCACTTTAGAAGCTGGAGCAGCGTTTTGTTTCATACAATATAAGCAACCTTTATGCTGGACCAAGCCACAGCTGCTGGCAGACCCAGCCTGGTGGTTTATACAGCTTAGCCACATCAGCACTTCAGTACTTGCCACTTACTGCTTAAGCTGCCAGCCACATGCAAACATACTATGAACACAGAATCCCAGGGTCTTCACTGCCCACAGTTATCTGATTCATTTTCTAGGCTGAAACAGTGATTTCTAACATGCTCCTCAGTTCAGCCAAACCTTATTATCGGGATCCAAAATGGAGGTTACGTTGGATTCATTCATCTTTGTCTCAATTCCCCGAGAAGTACAGGCTCTTATGTGGCCCACCTCACATGTGTTTAGCATTTGGCAGAGAAGTGGGACAGAATACAAAGTGCACTAAGTCGAGACTAAGGCGAGCTAGAACCTGGTCCTCAGCCTGCTTGTGTCTGTCAACCCAAAATATTGTTGCTTCTTAATTGCAATGATAAGGCTGCACTGCATTCTAGACTTTCAAGCCTGTAACTGAGTTAGCTCCCATTTGGCTTGACCAAGCAGACTTGTTTCAGAAAATTCAGAGCTTCAGCTCCCTCACTCATTCAGTTAGTTCCAATGGAAAGTGTTGTTGCACGCATGATTTATCTCCTTTAAGCAATGTGTATTCTGGAAAAGATAAATGTAAACATTTTTAAAAAATCAAATAACGTTTGAAGAAGAGGTCAGGAAAGTAAGGATTTTAGGGTTATTCACAACCTGAAGTTCCTTTTGAAATACTAAATCCTTTTCCTACTGTAGCCTTTTTGTGAGATCATGGCTATTTATTTTTTCAAAGAACAGGACTCTGGACACATGTGACCTGGAACAGTCTCCTGAAAATTGAGCCCTTTTTTCCCTTGAGTTAATAGTACAACTCCAGATATACTTTAAATCCGATTTAAATTTAATTGGCAATACTCCTAACTCTTGGGTGTTATTTCTAAATTTCACTTGGCATCTTCGATCAGATTTAGAAAAGTTTAAATGTTGTTGGCATGAGATGGTTCTATTAAAAGAAATTCTTATGTGAATTTTGAGTATTTGCTAAGGCTGGAGGAGTCTCTGGCGGCCGTTGGTTATGTTGTGTTTTTGTAAGAACAGAGTCCAAGTCTTTATTTTCTGCTCTTGGTCTGTCTTCTAGAGAGCATTCGCTACAGACTGCCCATTATGGGCCCCAGGACCGCTGTCTTCCACAGGCTGCTGTCAGGTGCCTACACAACTCCTCTGGAGACTCAGCACCTCTCCCTTCCCAGAAAGAAACTAAAGAGCAAGACAGTGAAGCAGTGAGTGGTCAGAGCTAATTACCCCCAAGTATCAGGGAAAAGGCCACCCCTCTGAACTGTTCTGATACTGGTGCCTTCCCATCCTGAAAGATGATTCATTTTTTTCCTTCCTACATGCTGCTAGTCTAGCTCCTACTACTTCCTCCTAAAGATAAAATGGTTTAATTTACATAAATATAAAGATTTATTGATTAACACAGAACATGGTAAGTGTGCCTTGTGTTATTTTGCTGAAGATTTTAATGCTTGTTATAATAAATGACAATCCTCTCCTTAAAAGTCATGGGTTTCCCTTGAAAGTCATTTAGCCCATTCCTTCAGGCAAGAGGACCAGGGATGGTACCTAGAGCCCTCTATAACCTTATCTTATTAAGAATCAAGGAGAAAAGGGAGAAAACATCTCCCTTTTTCTGTCAGTTAATTTCATGGATAACGGGACACTGATGTAATAACTGGAAAATGACACGTGATTACTGTTGCCGTGTTCAGTCACAGGGACTATGCCCTCCCCCTTGCCTTCTTGTGTCACCTCTTTTATTGCCTTGCAAATCGATCAAGTGTTCAGCCAGTCTTCGCTTGTATTTTATAATGAGGTTGTTTTTATATGAAAATGCATGCTTCCAGATCTGTGCTGGTCTGTATGTACACAGTTTGTGGAATACAAAAGATAATCCCAAGCTTGCCGATATTATGTCCATGGTCATATATGTTCCAAGCCAAGTTTCAAGAGGCTTTGTATAAAAAAAAAGCCCTTCTGTTTCTTAGGAAGCAACTGCCTAGTGGAAGCCCACCCCATGACTAAGTGGATGCTAGACCAATCTGTGAGACTCAACCTGTGCCAACTGATTTTGAAGAATGGAATTACGAGATCTCAGATAAATGAGCCAATGTCCAAATTGAACTCAACAAAAACAAAGAAAACCAAAGCAAACAAAAACAACAAAACCTGCTTCATTGTCTTTTTTTTTTTTTTTTTTTTTTAAGTTCGGAGCTGAGGACCGAACCCAGGGCCTTGCACTTGCTAGGCAAGCACACTACCACTGAGCTAAATCCCCATCCCCAGGCTATGATTCTCGTTTTTACTGCCTTTGGAGTTCAAGAACTTCAAAAATAGTACCCATGAATTCTAATGTCGTTTCAGACAATTTAACAAGCACAGCAAAACTTTCTTTGGTTATTGTTAGTTGTTTATGCATACTTCAGTAAAAGAACTTGGGGTGCCTGCACTCGTGAATTAGGAGAAATACTTTCCTCATGTACAATTATTTAGAGCTTTGGAGGTAATCTGGATATTATGTAGCTTAGGAGATAAAATGTTTCTGAAATCTCATAAAGACGGCCTCATCTAGAGTACTCCAAAACCACATTAAGAAGAGCATCTTGGCCCTGGCCAGTATGTTGACCGTGGGTGCTATAGTTTAGAACTTAAATGCTCCCCACAATGGTCACATATTGAGTGAAGGCTTGGCCACCAGCATATGACTCCCAGGAGGTAGCAGTGTCTTTAAGAAATGGAGCCAAGAAAGAAGTTACGTCATTTGGGGGCATACCTTGAGTGGGCTAAGGGGACCCTGTTGTGTTCTCTCTTCCTCTTCCCAATTCTTTTTTCCCTCTCGTTTGCCTTCTCCACAGTCTTTTCTTCCTCCTTCTCCCTCTCTCTATGTTTCTAACACTATTAGGTCTTAGAAATATTTTATACTCTTCAATAATTAAGAACCCTAATGAATTTTAAAAGGGGGGTTATATTTATTGATATTTATCATATTAGAAATTAAAATAGAATAATTTTTTAAAGTTTCATTAGGTATCAGAATGGTTAAATTATCACATATCATTTAGTCTTGAGAAAAATTCTACCATGTTTGAGTAAGAAGAATAAAAAAGTATGTGCTATGCAAGTAATTATAGATTTGATAGCCCCAAAGGATTTCAAAGGCCAAGGGGTTCAAGTCCACACTTTAAGAGTTTAAGGCTGAGTAATATATACCCTTGAATCTCAAGACCTCCATGAAAAGGGGTGGCATGGTGATTTAACTCATGCTCAGAGTAATATGTTTCCTTGGCAGATGATCTAGAGAGAAGGCGGTACTAGGTTTTCAACATTGATAATTTTTAGCATCAGCTTCCCTTTACTACCTATGAACTTAGTAATATTTCTCAAATAGTGTCTCAGTGAGAACAGAAGTTTGGTCCCTACTACACTGTCATGTTTCAATTTGAATATGAGTGTTAGCTGATTTGCATTTTGGTTTAGTATGAAATTTCCCAGAATCTCAGGCCCAAACCTGACCTCTTATGGCCTCAGCACACTAGTGATGACCTCAGTAGCTTTGTTAAATAGCTAACCAAGAAGAGTTTCCTTATTACTTTGTTCCTGTAATCAAATTCTAGAGAGTAATGGATGTTTGCCTCTAACATATCTTCATGCATGACTAACCCACTGCTACCATTTAGATCAAACTTGCAAAGAGATCTGCATATATCCTGCATGGTGTTCTATACCAATAGTAAACTTATTTAAAATAGGTTTCTCACCTATACCATACTTGGCTTCCATTATGTTGTAGGAGGAAAATGGTTGACAGTGTCCCTCTTGGCTCAGTTTTCTCTGAATTGGGCTCTTGGAGGCAGGATAACAACCTGAGCTTGTTATTATTTTACCTCCCGAATGTTCTTAAGTGTCATCCAGAAATCTATCATGAATGGGCCAAGCAATGTCTTCATGTATAATGTTATTCCTAGGTCAAAGTCATATGTAGTTCAAATTAATTTTTGAAAAATGGATAGTGCTGGGCAGATGTTTTTATTTCAGTGCAAAAGCTTGATTTTGCTTTAAAAAAAACTTAATTGAGTTAAAGTCTACAGATGTTAGTCATACACATTCCTCCTCTCTTACTTTCCCGTACTCGAACAGGGAATTTAAAAACCATCAATCTGTATAATTCCTTTACCTTAGAAATGGAAAGAAATGCTGTATTTGGCAAAAAAAAATCCATGTTATAGTTTTGATTGTGTTTCGTTTTATATAATGCAAGATCATGGTGACACCTGGTCCCAATTTGAACTCTGGGAAGTCTGACAGGCATCTATGGCTATTTTCTCTCATCAGGGTCACTTGTACATTTCCCTTGCTCAGGACTATCAGGTGGGGAGGGAGAAAAGGAGAAATGGGGGCAGGGAGGTTGACTGAAATTGTTAGCAACTTGCTGACTTCCTGGCCTAGTGTTCTTACACATGGCGCAGCTCATGTTCATTGTCTTAAACATGCATAATTCCAGGTAGTCTCAAGAGTGCCCTGTTTAGGTCTCACTCAGGTGCAGTTGTTCAGGTGGAGGGGTGTTAGAGGGGTGAGAGTGGTATTCCCCAACAAAGGAAGAACAATGGGATTACTGCCTATAAATAAGCCTAAAAATGAAAATAGTAAGAGTCTAAATAAAGGGTTTGGCAAGACAGTAAAGTGCTCGCCTTGAAAAGATTGGAGTTGAAGCCTAGGAAGCCACTTAAAAAACCCAGGTGTGGCAGCATGCATCTGTAATTCTCGTGCTGGGAAGGTGGGGACAGGCAGATCCCTGGGGATTGCTGACCAGTCAGCCCAGCCTAGTCAGGGAGACCCAGGCCGGGGAGGGAGAAATAACCAAGATGTCATTAAATATTTGGTGCTCGACTATCACGCAGGAGGCCGTGGGTGCAATCTTGAGTATGGAGAGGAGGAAGGCAGTGAAAAGGATAGCCTAACCCCTAGAGAAAACTAGACAATCATGTCTTCGATTATGTTCTACTTAAAACCAACTCAATTCAGCACTTCATTAAACAGTTCTCTCATACGGGTAATTGTAACTCTGTTCTATTTTTAAAAAATGTGTAAACCTAAAAAGGTCAACAACATCTCATGCTGTACTGTATCCCTACAGGTGCTACCCAGCATGCTTGAGGTGTATTTAAAATAAAAGCAAATCCATTCCAAGATTTACTAACCAATCTGTAAAATCACAAATTAAGATCCATAAATTTGGGACTTTGAACATAGACTTGGTTAGGTGTTGGGATTCTGTCTTTGAAGAAGTTATCATTTCATTCAGAGAAACACACACACACACACACACACACACACACACACACAATCATGGAATGTGAATTACAAAGAAACCCCCAGCAATTTCAGCAGTAACACTGTCCGTATCACCAGCCTTCCTGCTGTCTGCACAGAGACAAAGCAGCAATCACAGCTATTTTCACTCACACGGTGTTATCATTCGTTCTCTGTGACATCTTTGGCAAGGCCTTTAGTCACCTGATCAGCCAAGTGCAGAAAAGCCAAGGGAGGCACAGACAGGCATTTGCTATTTCAGGGAAATCTTACTGGATTATTAGTTCAGCAGTAAGGGCCATCCAGTGGGATTCCAACCTCGGGGAAAAGAGTCAGGCAAGCTTATTTCCTAGATTCTTACCTCAAGAAGAATGCATAAAGAGTACAAAAATGCGCCGGTGGTAGTGGCCCACGCCTTAAATCCCAGTACTCAGGAGGCAGAGCCAGGCGGATCTCTGTGAGTTCGAGGCCAGCCTGGGCTACAGAGCAAGATCTAGGACAGGCACCAAAACTACACAGAGAAACCCTGTCTTGAAAAATACCAAAAAAAAAAAAAAAAGAGTACAAAATGCATAAAAACTAGAAAGAGATTGTGGTAGCCTTGGTTAGCTCCAGAAAGTCAAACTGAGTGGCTAGAGGGCAGAAGTCAGCAGAGAGGATTCTGCAAACTGTACCCTTCCTTTCCCTTTGGATTGTGAACTGCTTCAGTGTTTCACTGACTCAAAAACAGAACAGGAGGAAACAAAAGACGTGTTTGAAGGCGCCAAGGAGCTAATCTAGCTTTGACATTGGAAACCCAATAAACTATCTGCATAATTGTCTTGCTAACACTCAGCTAGACATAAACTTTGAGTCCTATCAGGTTCAGGCAAGTGTCCGGTTCAAAGAATACATTTTATCTCTGGCCCTCAAGAAGTTTTGCCACTAAAAGTCAAGTTCTGGCACCCAGTAACAAATGTTTCATGCTTATGCAGCATTTTATAATTCTCGTCTCTGTATCAACTGTACTTTTGTTTTCTTACCATTAAACAAGAGTGTTTCACAAGATGTTATTCATTCATCCTTCCCCAGGGTAAATCCATAAAAATTCTTCATTCCACTGACACATATGTGCCTGGTTTTGTTGGCTTTTTTTCATTGTTGTTACATTTTTACGGCTAGTGATCTGACTCCAACCATCCCACTTGGACTCTGCCCACAGCACTGCTCAGAGTGAAATCTAAAACCCAAGCTGTGGCTCTGGGAACCAACCACCTTCATTTTAGATGTCCTACTTTCTGAAACATGGGCTGAAATTGCATTTTTTTTTCTCTCAATGGTCAAATCCCTAATTCATTCTCTGTCATAGCCTTGCCACCATATAAAGATGATCTGTCATTCTAGTGAGAATTGTTCTTAAAGTTTTCCTCTGCAGCTAACTGTGTGTGTTTTATGACAGGGTCTTACTGTGCAACACTAGCCAGCCAAGAAGTCACAGAGCTCTGCCTACCTTTCCCGCCCAAGTGCAGGGATTAAAGGCTTGCAATATCAGACCCAGCTTGAATATATATATAGTTTTTTTTCCAAGACAGGGTTTCTCTATGTAGCTCTGGCTATCTTGGAACTAGCTCTGTAGACCAGGCTGGCCTCTAACTCACAGAGATCTGCCAGCTTCTGCCTCCTGAGTACTGGGATTAAAGGTGTGCACTACCATGCCCGGCTTTTGTGCTATGTATTTTTGAAGCTGTATGCACAAACTTGTATTCTCCTTTATTACAGACACTCTATCAGGATTCCAGACAGCCTCCATTTTTCTGAATCTGGGCTTCGTCGTT